AAGAGAAAGAAAAATAACAAAAACAGACAAAAGAAAATGAGAGAGAGAGAGAGAGAGAGAGAGAGAGAGAGAGAGAGAGAGAGAATAAAAAGATGGCACTATGTAACTTAACCACCACCAAAAAATCTAATATGATCTTCACCTTGACGTCTTATTGGCAGCTGTTGATGCAGCCTGTGGTTCTGGTAAATAGAAAATGGACGCATCCACATCTTCAGCCATCACAGACATGTTATGCCCGAGACCCGTTACAATTGTGTTATCAGACATGACCACAGACTTAACGGTCTTCTGTGATGTTCTTTAATACACCATATCCTGGGGATAAGAATAAAGATTAATTATTTATAACTAAGCATGAGCCATATGGCACTGTAAATACATTTCAAATATGCCTACTTGTCTAAGAGAATATGATGTTCTGCTAAGTGATAATCAGGGACACAAAAATATATAGGCCTACATACATATTTCCTGTATATTTTGTGAAGGATTTAGGTCTAACAACAGCTTGATCAAATACACAATAGTCATACAATTTTCTTTAAAATGTAAGCATAAAGAACTATAGTGCCATACCTCATTCATAGTTCTAATGCCACTTCGCCCAACTAAGGATAATTTTACAATAAGTCAAGAGAGAAGTTAAATAAAATTATTCCAATTATTCATACCTGGTAGTATCTCACCTGCCGATAACTTCCTTCGTGTACCACTTGAACACTAATTTCCAGTATTCATCTCATAACTGTAATGTGCTGTTACTTATCTATGCGTAAAGAGTGTCTGTTAGTCTCATAGGAGAGGAAGATCTGCCAGACTGTCAGTGGTTTTCTTGTCGTTTTGGTTTTGGAAGTTGAATGGAGTTCGCGAGACAGGGAGACAAGTGAGCAATGGAATGCGCCGGAGGATCTTTTTTCACTTTTTTCAAATTCGGAAAGTTATATGTTTGATATGGATACATTTTCAGGTTGTTTTGAATATCTGAATCATTGTTTTAAGTTTATGTATACATATTACGAAATATTTAGCTTTTATTATAGAACTTAGATTTTTGTTTACAAAACATTAATCAGCTGATTAACGTTTTATTTTTTTTTCTCTCTCTATAACACAACAAATACATTAGGTCTCCATTTACATCATTGCTGGCTAATATTCGTTTTGTTGCGTACCTAAACCATTAATGTTATACGAAATTAATTATAAAATCACATATAAATCAAACAGCTCGTTACACCTGTTAACCGCAAATGCCTTATTTAAACTTAAAAGTCCATTTAAAGAAAATTTTGAATATTGTGACACTTTGTCTGTATCTACTTTGCTTTTGTAGTTAAACATCATTCATTCCTTTACAAAAAATACATTAGCGCAATATATATTGTACAACTGTGTACAACAAGCACTCTTACCAAACATCACAGGGCACCCTGCATTACTTGGAACTCTGCTTCTTTGCATAAGAAGACCTATCCATCTCCTCTTGCTATATCACGTTGCTGTTGAACATCGTGAATTCTTTAACAGGATTGCCCGGTAGCATAAGAATATTACTTTAACGTTAATTAGTAGGTGGATGCTATCAGTTTATAGTCAGCCAAAATGTACTTGAAGTATCTTCTGCTTACTTCACGTTTATACTTTCATAAAATACTGATGTAATAACTCGGAAGTGGGGTGAATCAAGAGAGCAAAATAATTTTACGATGCCTTCCTAAAAGAAATGGGCAAGTGGAATTAACCGTAATTAAAGTGCAATGCGTGAAAAATACGAGACCAGAGAACTTCCTTTATTGAAATCTCACTCCATATGCAAATGCTTTTCTTAGCTTAAAATATAGTGAAATAGATTAGTTTTCTGTATTTTATGAGATTAATGTTTCCTTTAATGTTTACAGTTTCGAGGAATTAAGAGAAGTAATTCTAAGGCAGCTTGAGATAAAGGAAAGTACACCTGTCGAAAGAATATTGATTTCCTTGACCCCTACACAATGATCCATCTCTTGGCGATCAGAAAATTAGGAAAGGCGAAAAACGATGCCGACTTTGTTACTAAGAGCATCCAAAAGGCAGTGCAAAAGTCTCACTTAGATATCCTCAAGGACTGACAGGTACATTGCATATTTAATGAAAATGCGATAACGGGAAATATTCTACCAAAAGATCCTAAACTTCCAGAGCATGTTATTCAAAGGCAGTGGTTATCCTCAGCAGCCGTAGCCTATATTTACATAGCTTTGTGCTTGGTCAGTGGGTCTTCAAGTCGTGAGTAAAGTAGAACATAAAGTGAATCTCCTTACCGAAGACTGCTGTTACATTACATTGAGTCAACATTTTCTTCATCATGATAATGATTAATAGTACTGATAATGATAATAATAATTATAAAGGTGATGGTAATAACAATAATGATAACAATAATAACGGTAATTATAATAACAATGATAATAACATTAATGATAATAACAATGATATAAGTGATTATAACAGAAACAAATGATGATGATAACAATAGTAATAATGATAATGATAATAATGATACTGATAATAATGATGACTATGGTGATGGTAATGATAATAATAACAATTATTATAATGACAATAATCACAGTAATAATAATAATAATATTAATAACAATAACAATAACAATAATCACAGTAATAATAATAACTCATAATAATAATTATAATTATGATAACCATGCTGACAAAAAATAGCAATAATAATGATGATAATAATAAAGATAATGGTAACAGTTGTAGTAACAACGGTATGTTTTTATTATCTTTATTATCATTTATTGTCCTTATTAATCATTAGTCATCTTGTGTGGAGCGCATGCCTTAGACCCATCATTGCCCGTGGTCACTGAGTACCAAAAACGGTTAGGAATGCTAAGTGAAAATATACCAGTCACCTGGGTACTGTACTCTCATCCTAACGGGTACCCCCTCGGATTTGAATTTCTTCCTACATCAGAGCCAAGCATTACCCTTTTAAGTTTCCCATTTTTTCTCCCTCTCTCCATACGATCTATAGTATACTGTCCCACACAATACGAAACATGCTATTAAAGATTACTGAAGATTAAGCATGAGCTACGGAAAAGACAACATAGACATAGCAGTTTCTGTTAGAAAAGATATAAATGAGAATGAATATCTTCACAATACAAGAGTTGTATTTCACCGGTTACGAATATACCTTCGTCATAAGTACCTGGCGAAGATGTATTCGAAACAGATATTTTGTATATCTGACGAAGACAATTTCGAAACGTAAAATACACCTTTTGAATTGTGAAGATATCCTCATTCATATCTCCTCTACATTTGTCAACAGGAATACGGTCCAACACTGATTCTACGAGAGAAATAACCCACAGAGTGCACATTGGGCTACCTATTGGAGGCTCGTAACGTACCAACTCACTAATAGTATATTGGAGGCTCGTAACGTACCAACTCACTAATAGTATTCTATAAAGAGGCTGCAAACCAAACTATGTCACCATTGTAGTATGCAAGTCACCCAACTTCTAAAGCCTTATTCGTTACTCTCTACGTTACGCAAATACTGCATCCGATGACTGTAACCACATAAAAGATTTTTGGCCTTTGGGTGATTTTAGCGCACTTCTTGCCGTGTTCCTTTACCATACACATATAATCTCGCAGTGTGTCAGTCGTAAGTTATCTATACCCAGTTCTCATTTCAGATTAAATGAACTGGAGGTGTCGGGCAGGAAATCGGGGCGGAAAGGAACTGGCCACCCTACCGCATTTTCCCGCGCTATTAGCGTGCTCCCTTACGTCAAATGAGAAAATAAACTTTTCGAGACGCGTATGTCCCGTGCATTCAGTTGAGTATGGTTCCTCCTTTTAACCGACACACGTTTCCTATAATTGGTGTCCGATATAAATATATGTTAAAAGTGGTTATTAGATGAGCACACACACACACACACACACACACACACACACACATATATATATATAGATAGATAGATAGATAGATAGATAGATATACATATACATATACATATACATATACATATATATACATACATACATACATACATATATATATATATATATATATATATATATATAATATATATATA